TGGGTCGGGAGCGGCTCCTAACGCCCTCTGGCGGGCGGAAGCCGCGCTGCGTCTCGGGGGATACGACGCTCGGTAGCCACAGGCACCCCTCCCACCCTCGATCCGCGTGCGGACCTGGCCCCTGCCTGGGATCTCACTGTTCAGACTCCTGGACCAAAGCCCCGGGTGCCACTACGGGGCTCCTTGTCCACGCGTCGCCGCAGCCCGCCCCTTCGCCTCTGCTGGGCCCTGCCCACCGCAGCGGTTTCCCGGTGGCTCCGCCTGCGGCCCAATTTCCAGGCGACTGTTTCCCGGCGACGGCGGGCGGGGCGTCTCTGCTACCCCCTGCATCGAGCTCCCCTGAAGCCCCGCCTCTGGTTCGGGTGCGGGAGCCAGGCCTGCCCAGGCTGCGACGCCGCCACAACTCAGGGCAGGCCCGCAGAGGCAGGGGGATGGCTCGCAAGGCCTTTGGGGTCAGCGGCCCCCAAAGTTGGCGATATCCCCTCTCTGGGCCTCAGTTCCCGTGTCTGCAAAACGGGAGCGAGAACAAGATTTAAGGGCGGTAACACGCGTAAGTCCCTCGCGAAAGCCCTGCTCGGGTTGGCCCGGTCTGGTCTGGGGTCTGAACGTGGCCGACAGGGTCTGGAGGGTCGCCACGATGGACTCGCTGGCAGCACCCCAGGACCGCCTGGTGGAGCAGCTGCTGTCACCACGGACCCAGGCCCAGAGGCGTCTCAAGGTGTGTGTGTGTGTGTGTGTGTGTGTGTGTGTGTGTGTGTGTGTAAAGGGGGTGGAATGTGGGTCAGTGTGTGCAAGCTTGCTTGACCAGGACCTGGGAGCTCCAGAACATGGTAGGGCCCAGCAAGACGCATGTCCCCTGGTCGTGGATACCAGGGACCCGTTGGTTGGGAAGGATCCAGGCAATTGTCTATAAATAGCCCCTGCTCTGTGCTGCAGCCAGCCACCCCCAGTGCTGGATCTGAGCCAGATAGGCCTCCCACCCTCAGTACTCTGGGAAGAGGTAAGTGTTGAGGCCTGGGCTTCTCCTGTCTGTGAAGGGCCTTGTGTGTCTGAGGGGTCTCAGTCCTGATACCTTCAGACCACAAAGGGAGCCAGGGAAGACAGTTGCCAATGCCTGCTGAGGCCTGGCATTCCCCTATCCTCCCCATTGTCTTGGGTCCCTGCAAAGCCTCTTGCTGAAGCTGGGGAAGGAGTGCCTTTTCCTGCTATACCCCCCTCACCAGCCTTCCCACCTCCAGGTCTTTGTCCACAAATCCTCACCTCATTTTTGCCAGTGAAATGCCCCATCCTAGGTGAGGACTGTGCCATCTGCTGTCTCCTCATCCTGAGCAGGGTAGAGGCTAGGGCACTGGGCTGCTGCAAAGAAACTCCAGAGTGCCACTGACCTTCCCCAATCCTGCCCCCAGGATATCGACAAGCAGTACGTGGGTTTCGCCACACTGCCCAACCAGGTGCACCGCAAGTCAGTAAAGAAGGGTTTCGACTTCACGCTTATGGTGGCTGGTGAGTGGGCCAGGTTGCTGGGTGGAGTGGCTGGAGCCTCTGGCCAGCCAGGCTTAGTTGTGGGGAACCCATACCTAACTCAATTCCTTTGCTGTACCTGTGGCCAGGTGAGTCAGGCCTTGGGAAGTCCACACTGGTCCATAGCCTCTTCCTGACTGACCTGTACAAGGACAGGAAACTGCTCAGTGCTGAGGGTAAGTGGCCCGCACACAGTCCTGACACTGATTTACCAACCCTAACCTATAATCCTTTGAAGAGCACCCTTCTAGGTCTACCCTCCTTCTCATGTTGTGCATCCCTATTCAGAGTCCAGAAAGAGTGGCCCAGATCACAGTCATATTGTATGGCCAAGGTCAAGGCACTAAGATAGATGAGGACAAGAGTCCTGGCTGCCTGGGGTAGGGCATAAAGGGTTGGAGTGGCCCCATACTAACAATGCCTTCCTCCCCATCCCCCTGCAGAACGCATCAGTCAGACAGTAGAGATCCTGAAGCACACAGTGGACATTGAGGAGAAGGGTGTCAAGTTGAAACTAACCATTGTGGACACACCTGGTTTCGGGGATGCTGTCAACAACTCGGAGTGGTGAGGAAAGCCTGACTGGGGAATGAATCCCTGACCCAGCCAATCCCAGCCTCCCTGTGGCCAGTGGGTGGTCCTGACACTGAATTAATGTTCCCTCCACCCACAGCTGGAAGCCCATCACTGATTATGTGGACCAGCAATTTGAGCAGTATTTCCGTGATGAGAGTGGCCTGAACCGCAAGAACATCCAAGACAACAGGGTGCACTGCTGCCTGTACTTCATCTCCCCCTTTGGGCATGGGTATGTCCTGGAACCAGGCTTAGGGCCCATCCCCCTATAGTGTATTCTCATGGCTGTACCTATCACTGCACCACCACTACTCTTACCCCTTACCATGCACATCCCTGCCCCTGGCTGCTCTCTGCAGGCTGCGGCCAGTGGACGTGGGTTTCATGAAGGCTTTGCATGAGAAGGTGAACATCGTGCCCCTCATTGCCAAAGCAGACTGCCTGGTCCCCAGTGAAATCCGGAAGCTGAAGGAGCGGGTGAGCCTGCTGTGACAGAGGGGACTTGGCCAAAGACTGTGGGGCAGAGAATGCTGGGAAAGCTGGCCAGCCCCATTTCTTGACAGCTCTTGCCCCTTCACTGCAGATCCGGGAAGAGATAGACAAGTTTGGGATTCACGTATACCAGTTTCCGGAATGTGATTCAGATGAGGATGAAGACTTCAAGCAACAGGACCGGGAACTAAAGGTAAATATGCAGTGGGGAGGGGATGGAGATAGCCAGGGATAGAGAACTGGAGGCCACACAGGAGCCAGAGTAGGGCTAGACATCCAAGTCCAATCTGATGAGGGCAAGAGTCATTTGTCCTGGAGGTAGAAGACCTATACCCCCATGAGTAAACAGCTAAAGAGTCCAACCCAGTTGTCATAGAGCTGTGACATCCCCTAACTCCCATAGTGGTGGCTTTGGGTGCCCCAGCTATAGTGACAATTAAGACCCACCAAGGCCAAGGGCAGAGATCCACTGGGTCAACAGAGCATGGACAGGGGCATCGTACCACAAGGTATGGGCTCAGCCTGTGGGGAGAGAAAGGGAAGGAAGCTAGATTGGTGGTTCTTGATGTGGAAGGGGTCAGGAAGCAAGAGTTTGGTTGGGCACAATCTGGCAGAGGCCTAAGGGTGTGCAGACCATGGCTGCAGTGGGCAACAAAGATGTCAAAAGAAGAACAATATCAGGTTGACTTTGGGGGGAAGTGGATAATAGTGATGCTAGAAGGGCGTGCTTCGGGGTGCTAGCCCCCACGCCCTCCCCAACCACTAAGCCTGCGCTCATATGGTCTGGGCGTGAGCCCTTGCTCCCCTCCCCCAGGAGAGTGCTCCCTTCGCTGTTATTGGCAGCAACACAGTGGTGGAAGCCAAGGGGCAGCGGGTCCGGGGGCGACTGTACCCCTGGGGAATCGTGGAGGGTGAGTTGATGCATGGGGCACCATGTACTGGGTGGGAAGGCTCCCTGGGCAGATGCCCACCCACAGCCCACTTCTGCCCCATAGTGGAGAATCAGGCACACTGCGACTTCGTAAAGCTACGCAACATGCTTATCCGCACTCACATGCACGACCTCAAGGATGTGACATGTGATGTTCACTACGAGAACTATCGCGCACACTGCATCCAGCAGATGACCAGGTGAGCCATCCCCACACATTGGAACTTGATCTCACACCTCTTGGCCCTGGCCATGTCTCTATAACTGAGGGCTGGTTGGGGCTAACCCCCAAATCAAATCCACAGTGCTTGCTCTCCCTAGAATTAGCTCAGAGGTTTTGTATCCCAGCCCATCACTCTGAACCTCCTAGCAGCCATTTCCCTCCTTTATCGCCCCCCCACACAGCAAATTGACCCAAGACAGTCGCATGGAGAGTCCCATCCCCATCCTACCACTGCCCACCCCGGATGCTGAGACTGAGAAACTCATCAGGATGAAGGATGAGGAGGTTGGTGGGAGCTGGGGGTGGAGCCAGGACTGGATGTGACCGCCTGAAGGGGTGGGGGTGAGGTCTGGCCTCTCCCGCTACCTTTCTCACCTGCCCTCCCTCGGTTCTCCACATCCCTCAGTTAAGGCGCATGCAGGAGATGCTGCAGAAGATGAAGCAGCAAATGCAGGACCAGTGACCCCTGTCCCAGCTCCACGTCGCCAGTCGCCATGGATAGACCACCTGTACCGGGCTGGCCCCTCCCACCCCTGGACCCCAGATTGGCCTGGATTCCATCCTGGATTCACCTGGATCTCAGTCGGGCCTGGACCCAACCCTAAACCCAGAGGGGCCCTGACCGGACTTTTCCCGACCCAGAGACAAGGAGCCACAACCCCATATGACCCTAATTTATTCTCAGTATCAACCCCTCCCAGGTCATTTGTATCTGTTTTTGAGGGGCCTGGACAATAGCCCCGTCCCAACTGGTCTTGGGGGGAGCAGGCACTAAGTTGAGCACAACTTCTGAGATCACCCCCATCCCCAAGAAAGTCACAGCAACCAGATTCCAGGCCTTGTTCAGGCATGCACCTTAACCAAGGCAGAGGAAAGAAATGGATCTTCAAGGTTCTGGGCCTGTTCCCCTAATCCAGTGCTGCAGAGCACACTTTGGAGTCCTCTGTGCTGTTCCTATGGGCCATGCAGCCTATGCTGATTCCCTACTTTGTGTAGACAGGGGCTTCCCTTACCACCTCACACAAGGTGGGGACCAAAGTAGGCAGGGTTGGGCACCGGAAGCAATTCAGAAACATCTAGACCAGAAGGCTGCTGGTAGGGAGAGCAGGCAGAGGGTGGGCAGGGGACCCATGGCAGCCCATGCTCCTTCCCCACATCCTGGGCCGATCTAGAGGGCTCCAGGAACAGTGGACAGTGGCTCATTCCCTGACAAACCCCAATACCTAAACATCTCCCTTAGCACTGTGGTGCCAGGATCCCTAGCCCTTGGCCTCCTTCATCTCTCCACCCGCATGATTCTTCCCCCAACATCTCATGATCCGTTTTGTTCAGTTGTGAATGCTGTGTCCTGTCCTGGTGACAGGAGAACAATGTTGGTGAACGTCGCAGAGGGTGTCCTAGTATTCCGTGCGCCCCTGGGAGCGGGTGGGAGCGGAAATGCAAACCGTCAGCAGGCCTTGGTGATAGCGCCCTATCTGCTGCTGCAGCTCCAGCCCACGCCGCCTCGGGGGTTATTTCTGTACAGGAGGCAGCACTGTGGTCTGTGCGGCGAGCGTGAGGTGGCTGGCTCTCTGGTCAACGCCTCCCGCTCCAGAGCAAGCTGGGCCACCATCCTCTCGCCATGGACTCCCGTGAGTTTGGGGTCGTGTCTGCAGTTTCTTGGGTAGACCCAGTTTGGGAGACGTTTCGTTCGTTTATACTGCAATAGGGAGAGGGCTGGATCCGACTTAGAGGGGGATTCTGACCAGTGCCTAGGTCGGTTGGGGTGGAGAGGTGTGCGGCTGAGGCCACAGGCCTCGGGATGGAGCCGGGCCCAGTGATCCCGATGTCCAGGGACGCCGCACAGGTGTCCCACTGGCCGACCAGCTCATCGCAGCCTTTTCTTACAGGGCCACACGGGGCGCTGAGCCTACTGCTCCTACTGTTGGCGCCCCCGAGCCGCCCAGCCACGGGTTGCCCCGCGCCGTGTAGCTGCGCAGGGACGCTCGTGGACTGCGGGCGACGCGGGCTGACGTGGGCCTCACTGCCTGCCGCCTTCCCGCCTGACACCACGGAACTGGTGCTGATGGGCAACAACTTGACGGCACTGCCACCGGGGCTGCTGGATGTGCTACCAGCGCTGCGCGCGGTGTACCTAAGCGCCAACCCCTGGCACTGCGACTGCAGCCTGGTGCCGCTGCGCGCGTGGTTGGCGGGTCGCCCGGAGCGCGAGCCCTACCGCGACCTTCGCTGCGCCTCGCCCCCTGCACTGCGCGGCCGCCTGCTGCCCTACCTGACCGAGGACGAGATGCGCGCCTCCTGCGAGCGGGGTCGGCTCTGCTGGGGGGCGCTGGTGGCTCAGCTAGCGCTGCTTGGCCTAGGGCTGCTACACGCGCTGCTGCTGGCGCTGCTATTGTGCCGCCTGCGGAGACTAAGAGCCCATGATCGTAGACCGCTGAGCACCCCTCTGGTAGCCGAACCCGCTGGAGCTGGTGCGTCCTGAGAGAAGCGCAAAGCACGTAGGCCTGCAAACTCCACAGGACGCTGTCCAAGGATCGCTCTCCCTAATCAAGATCCCCCTGGGTCTTCTCCCCTGTCTGATATCCCAAACCCACCGGGCGGGTCGGGTCAGATCTATGTGGGTTGGAAATGTTGCCAAGACGAAGTTAGGAAACCCTGTGCCCTTCACACTTAGAAAGATGAAGGAGCCTAGCTTCAACTAAAACACTGTGGAGTCTTCCCAAACTCCACGATGAATAAACCATTTTCCTGATCTGGCTGGTCTCTGTACCACATGACCTGCAATTCCCCTCCCTAGGTTCCAGAAAAGACTCCAGGAAGATGGTCCAAGGGGACACAATCATATTTTCACACAAGCCGAACTGGCCTGGCGCCTACAGGAGTCTGGGTAGATGTGAAGGTACTGTGAACAGTGAGGAAACTCAGAGCACACTCAGAGGAATAGTTCTTTTGAGTTGTGGGAGCCAAGAGGATGTTCTGAGGGTTCTGAGAACAGCTCAGAAGATGAGGTGTCTCTTATCAGTGACCCTGATGAACAGGCAGCTTTCAAAGCAGTCAGGGATGGACTGAGGTTGGGGTGATTGCATGGTGAGAATAGTCAAGTGGGGCCAGTGGTGCATCTGGAATTCCCTGGACTGTCAGTGAATCAGCCTCTGGAGTGTATACAGGGCAGGTTGATTGAGGCCATGAGAGGTGGAGTCCATGGAAGGCCCCTGCAGGTGTGAGTAGATGCCAGGTGTCTCTGGCATGGTGTGCCTAGAGTGATCCAGGACTTCTCCCACAGTTCCTGGCTCCTACAGGTCTCCTAAGTATCCTCCCCATCCCATTTCCCCATCTCACAGCAGCAGCCCCAGTCTTTGGCCCTTCTGTTGAGGCTCAAAGCCCACTTCTGCTTGAGAGTTCTGTCCCTACTAACCACCTCACAGCCTCTGCCTCCCCAGGCTCCCAGGCTGCACCATACTGACCCTACCTCCCAACTAGGACTGTACATGTGCCCTTCTTTCTGCCTGGCACACACAGCCCTTCACATTGCTGTTCCTTGCTCACCTCCTGCCTCTCCAGCTAGTGCCCACCTTACTGCCATTTTCCTCAGGAAGTCCTCTTTGATTGCCCAGACTAGCAAGGGGCCCTCCAGTCCCTGGTCTCCTGCTGTCCTCTCCTGCCCTTATAGCTGAGCAAATAGTCTTTGAGTCCTTTGTGGGTTACCCCAGTATAGCACAAGACTACTAACAAGGGGCACAGGGTGCACAAATGAGGGGTGATACCTTTTTCATTATTGGAGTCAGGCTGAAAGTGCCTAGGACAGAGTCCCTCTCCTGCCTTTGGTTTGGCTCCCACCTTACTGACCCTGTGAATAATAAAGGCTGTTCTCTGAGGACCCCAAATAGGACTCAAGTCTGGGTATAAGAAGTCTCCTCACCTCTGGGTATAGGAAACCCCTTCTGGCTGCCATTGACCAGGTTGGGGAGGCTGTCACTGACATGGCCTTTGTCCTAGCCTTTGTAGGATAAGATGGATGGCCCTCCAATAGGGCTGATGCTATCTTCAGGCTGTCGATCAGACATGAGGCAACAGCCACCCCCTCCCTTGTGGGCAGGTGCAGGGCATCCGGCCCATTGTGGACTGCAGCTGACTGTCCGGTTGTCCATCCGGACTTATCACCACATCAGGGACAATGACCCCCTTTGTACAAGAAACTGACAAACTTACCCTGCAAGGGTGAGTTCTGGCATCCCCAGAACCCCTGGTGGAGGTCAGGGACAAGCAACTCTCTAAACTCAGTCTGAACATGTTGCAGGGAGGAGGTGTCCCTTCTGCCATCCAGGAGAGGAAACCAAATCCCAGAAAGGAGCTCCCTACTGGGTCCCAGAGCTTTCTCTATCATTGCCATGGGAGCAGAGCTGAGAAAGGTCCCTAGGTCCCCCATTCTCCTCCTCACTGAGGTCTTCAAGGAGCAAATTCAGGGCCTAGGGAAAATGGTTTAGGGGGCCTGGGTGACCTCTAAGCTAAAAGAAGCTATGGGAAGGAACCCAGGCCTGCTCCTCAGAAGGCTTGAGCACTCCAGGACCAGTGTTTTGCTGAAGGGGTGGGCCTGGATTCCCTGAGGGGTAGGTCTATAGAGCAAGGGACCTCCACTATTGGAGGAATAAGAATGAAATCAGTGTGGTCAGACATAATGAAAAAGTCTTGCTTGCTAGTCAATGAAGCAGCTGAACTCCATGGCTCCAGGATCCCCTCCTCTTACTGGGCCAAGCTGCTGACCACAGGGGGTACTGGCCTGGTCAGACTATCTGGGGCCTAGGAACCTTCAATCCCAATTCCTGACCCTAAGCTGACCCTCCACATGCTGACCCTGGGGCTTCAGCCTCCAAATGGTATGGGGAAGTGGATGGTCCCAGCTCAGCGCCCCTGAATGGCCCCACAAGGGGAGGGGAAATACACACCCCCTGCTCAGAGTATTGTCCTCCACTTCATAGACAACACACCTGCCCCAGGGACTCTTTTCCACTGAACAGCTGGTCTCCTTCTTGGCCTCAGATTCCTCCCAGACCAGCAAAAGTCAGAGGACCCCTTTGGAGGTCCTGTCCAGCCCCCAACATATCCAGACCTCAGGATGGTGGATTAGGGGCTCTTTGCCCTGCATCCCAACCAGCCTACCTGGACTCCCAAGGCCTCAAACTTAGATGGAGTCCCACTCCCAAGTATCCAGGCTTTCCACACCTTTGCCAGCCAGTCCTTCTGCCCAACATGCTCTCTCTCCTGTGATTGCTGTCCGGATTCAAGGCCCCATTCAAGCACATCCTCACAGGGAGCTTCCCAGCTTTGCCTGGTCTGACACATGGCATACGACTTTGGGTCCAAACCTATTTCTCCAAAGCCTCCCAGGAGCTCAAGCCACAAGCTCCAAGTCCTGAGCACAACCCGACAGTAAGTGACTGATCAAAGAGGTATATAGATCTATCCCCAGCAAGGCTAGACAGCAGCCCAAGGGTAGACACAGCGGTGTCCTGCTGCTGAGAGCTTCTATCTCCTCATTTGTGAAATGGTTGGATGTTGCCTTAAGCTGCAATGATCCCTGTACAGAGACCCATCCGGTCCTTCCTTTGGGCGCCGCGAATCAGGGATGGCACCAGAGGGCGCTCGCAGTCCGCAGAAAACATCTGCAAAGGGGCATGCGCAGGCAGAGTTGAGCGCTAGGGGTGCAGACAGCCAGGGTCTGCGGAAAAACAGGGGCCAGGAGAGGGGGAAAATGTCCAGGCTGCGTGAGGCGGCACTAAGAGGGTAAAGCAGGTCGCCCCCTTGGGGGAGTTGTGAGGCGGGCGCTGTGGGGCCGCTGACAGACAGGGAAGGGGTGAGCTCGACTCTCTCCCCTTCCCTTCCCGGCGCACTGACAGCTCGTCAACCGCAAAGATAAGGGACCTCTTCCGCCGGGACTAGGGGAAGAGGGCCATCCCAGGTGCGCCCTTCCCCCTCTTGCTGGTGTTTGCTTGGTAAACACTTATTGGGCCCCTGCTGTGTGCACTGCGGAGGGGACGGGAGGGCTGGACTCCGAAGCTTCTAACCAGGATGCCTGGTCTGGGTCGGCAAATATTCAAGACAAGAGGCTCCGCCACCCACGGGACAATGGCTGTATTAGGGTTCTTCATGGAACTTCTCTAGCGTGGGGAAGCGTCAGTGTTGGGCTGACTTGCTGGGGCCCCCGCATGAAGGAGGCTCTGGGAAGTTCTGGGGGGCCCAAGCCCAGGCCACGTTGGGGGGGGGACCGCACCCGCCGCCCAGACAGAGCAACAACATTGGGGTGGGTGGCAGAGCCCTGGGGGCCCATAGCTCACCGCACCGTCTGCGCCCACCCCTGGCGTTTCCGATGGAAGACAGGCGGCTAGTGATAAATCACCAGTTCCCACCCCCTCCCACCCGGGGGGACCAGTGGGAATGAGGGGCTGCAGGGCTGCATGTGACAGAGTCCGGGCCTCAGATCGAAGTGAAGCCCAGAGAGGGAGATACAAGACAGAGAAATAGAGGCAGCTGCACCAGCCAGGTACTTGCTGGATTGTCTGGCTTCCCCCCACCACCCCCCACACATCACCACCCCGCCCCAGGTGTCCCCTCCACATAGCCCATCTGGAAACCAGCTGAGAGCCACCCCCAACCTTGGCTGACCCCAACAGGGAGGTGGAGGAGGGAGGGAGCCAGGCCTTTGCAGCTATAATTCTAGCTCCCCTGGGAGGACCATAAATCAGCAGGGGGGCACTCCACAAGCACTCCCCCCACCCCCAGGGAGAGTGAGGATCTTCAGGGTCACTGATCCTGGTGACTAGGCCTGGCCTTGACTGTGTCCCTCCCTCTTTAAACAGCTTTTGGGGGGATCTCCCAGGCCCTCCCCCATCTCTCATTTTTTTTACCAACACAGGCAAACTAGCCTAGAGCTGTCTAAACCAAGTTCTGTCTACACTGGATGCTCACACTCACTGCCTCCTTCTCTCTCAGCAGACAGGATATGTCTGCAGGGGAGTGATGTATCCTCATTAGGAGAACCCCTGGAGGCTGACCTGTCAATGGTCCCACAGGAACTGGGAGTCAGCAGATCCTCTCCAGTGAGGCCTCCCCCGACCCTCAGGTCCACTCTGCCCCAGGAGAAATGCCATCTGTGCCTCCTTCCATCCTGCCTTCCCTATCACCTCCCACGAGGATGCTGAGGGCTCTCTAGACAAAGGGTGGTGAGAGCTGAGCCAGGTGGGCCCCAGGTGTGAGCATGCACACATGTACACACACACACATGCACGCCCTCCCAAAATAGGTGTGACATCACCAGTGGGAGAGGACTGAGGGAACCAGTGGGAGTTGTGGGTATGATCAATACCCCCACTTCCCAGACCCTCATTCCAGTGGGGCCAACCCCAGCAGTTATTCTCCAGGGATCTGTCCTACAGGCCTACATGGCAGCATTAAGGCCACTTGTACACAAGGAAACACAAATGTCCACTGTATAGTCACTCATAGCATGTCTCAAGAAATGATGAGGGCTGGGGTTGTAACTCAGTGGTAGAGCACTTACATAGTGTGTGTGAGGCACTAGGTTTGATTCTCAGCATCATATATAAATAAATTAATTAAATAAAAGACCACAAACATCTTTAAAAAAAAAAAAAAAGAAATGATGGAATTGGCGGGGAAGATGGTCCTTGTCTAGAAAGACCTTTGGAGCTCTTGAGATTATGTGCCTGAAAGAGACACTGAGTGTACTCTGGGCTG